CTGTTGAAACGAAGGAAAGAAAGTGTGGAGGGAGGGAGTAAGAGAAGATGTGGGCAGTGCATCATCCTGTCTTCAAGTATTTTAAAAGCTGTCCAGCAGAAGCAGCATTAAGCTTGTCCAAGTTAGCCCCAGAGCACCTACATAGGACATATGGGGGAGAATTTTAGAGAGGTATTGTTGGGCTGTGTGTAACCAAAAACTTGCTAAAGATTACAGCTATCTAGAAGTGAAAGCAGTCTTCTATCATGGGGGTCATCAGACAGAGGTTAGATGATCATTTAATGGAGACACACTAGGGACTATTGGTCAGGAAGGGTTTGGACTACATGACATCTGAGTGCCCTTTAGACTGCAATTCTGTGATTCTGATTCTGAGAACATTATTTTTTGTTGTACAAATTCTTATTTCTGTTAAACCAAATCCATCAGTTTTGACTTCAAAGACCTTTTCTATTGAAAAACAAAACAAAGCATTGATTAGGCACTTACTATATTCTAGGCACTGTGCTACACGATTAGGATGCAGCTCTAAGCAAGCGAGCCCTGGCCTCAAGGAGTTTACATTTTGGTAGGGGAAGGCCACACATAAACAGGACCTAAAAGATGGCTAAGCAGGGCAACTTAGTCTAGCAATGACCTGGAAGTGGCCTGGTCTGGCTTAGAGAAGATGAGAGATCACCTTGGAGAGCCCAAGGCCTCAGGGGACAGAATGAGCTTTTAGGGAAAACTGAGGACAGCAGGCAAGGGGTTTTGGAGTTCTTTTTATTATTTCTTTTTTTTTTTTAATTTTTGTTCATTTCAAACTTAGATACAAAGTGAGAAAAGAAAAAAAAAAAGAACATTTCCATGTATGCAGCAGAATATGAGAGGATTCAATATAAAACAGCAAATTTCTATTTCAAATTGTTTACTTTTTTTTGAAAACCTATATAATAAATACTACACATTGTTTTCAAAGCTACCCAGTTTTTGAGTGCTTCCTTCTAAATTTTCAAGTTCTCTTTTGTTCTCTGATTTGCACTTTTTATTTTATTTTTTTCTCCCTCCCCCTACCCTGCCCAAGAGAAGGCTACAATTAAATATGAATATATATTCATATACATATATATCCATATGCATATAGGTAAGACCATACTATGCGTATTTCTATTTGTCAGTTCTTTTTCTGGAGGTAGATGGTATCTTCCTTCATAGGTCCAAGACTTCCCGTGTTTTTCTACATCAGCCAGTTCATCATTTCTTATGTCATAGTAGTATTCCATTACAATCATATACCGTAGGTTTTTTAGCCGTTCCCCGTTTGAAGGGCATCTATCATTTTAGCCAATCTGATAGATGTAAGATGGTATCCCCAAAGTTGTTTTTAATTTACATTTCTCTAATCAGTAACGATTTAGAACATTTTTTCATTTGACTATATAAAGTTTTGATTTCTTCATCCAAAAACTGCCTATTCGTATCCTTTGACCATTTATCAATTGGGGTATGACTCATATTCTTATGAATTTGACAAAGTTCTTTATGTATTTGAGAGATGAGACCTTTATCTGAGAGATCGTCTATGAAAGTGTCAAGATACTATTAGGAGATACCCTGTTTTCCAAGCTGTGCCCTGAGATTGGCGTAACAACAATCCTTTGTGCTCACCTTCTGGAACTGATGGTTCCTGAGCTCAGGCAGGCACCAGCAGGCCCAGACATGAAGCCTTGTTACCAGTGACTTCTTGTCACTAGACAACCTTCCCTCACTGTTGCTGTTGCGCCTCGCTACTGTTGCTACACTACACTGTTTAACTCTTTGTCTAGCCACAAATATTTAAATCAAGGTTTGGCCACGCTGGAGTGGGTCCCCCGACTAGGGGCAGGGCTCTAGCCCATTTGTCTCAATCCCCTCCTTGCTTGCAAGCCATTTCTCTCCCTTTGAAATTAAGCTTCTGTTTGATTCCTGACTGTCTTGTCTCTAGCCTGCTCTGTTCAGCTCTGGCCACTGGTTAGAGGCTGATTCCATCTAATTGACAAAAGTTTTTTTTCCCTATTTTCTGCTTTCCTTCTAATCTTGGCTACATTGGTTTTATTTTTATGAGAACTTTTAAATTTTACACCTCAACAATGCTCTCTCTCTCTTGTTTCTTTGTATATTGTTCTCCTATCCATGAGTCTGGTAGGTAATATGTTCCGTGTTCTAATTTTATTGTAGTATCTCCCTTTATATCTAGGTCATGTATCTATTTTGACCTTATCTTGGTACATGGTTTAATATGCCCAATTCCACTAGACTGCTTCCCAGCTTTCCCAACAATTTTTACTAAATAATGAATTCTTATCCCCAAACTTAAATCTTTACATTTGTCAAACACACAGTTACTATGATTCTTTACTACTGTATATTGTATGTCTACTCTGTTCCACTGACCTACCTTTCTATTTTTTAGCCAGTACCAGATAGGTTTGATATTTACTGCCTTATAATATAATTTAAGGTCTGGTACTGCTGAATCGTCTTCCTTGACTTTTTAAAATTAGTTAATTTGAAATTCTTGAGCTTTTGTTCTTCTAAATGAATTTTGTCATTATTTTTTCTAACTCAGCAAAATAAATTTTTAGTAACTTAATTGAGATGGCATTGAATAAATAGATTAGTTAGGTAAAATTGTCATTTTTATTATATTGGCATTGCCTACTCATGAACAATGAATATTTCTCCAATTATTTAAATCTGACTTTATTCATATAAAGAATGTTTATATTTATGTTCATGTAGTTCCTGTGTCTGTTTTGGCAGGCATACTGTCAGGTATTTTTTGCTGTCTAGTTATTTTAAACGGTCTAAAACAATATTGAATAATATTGGTGACACCTAGTATAGTTACCCTGTTTTTCTCTTTTAATTAAATGTATTTTAGCTTTAACTTTGTCTGAAATCATGATTGCTACCTTGCTTTTTTTATATAATAAATTCAGCTCCAACCTTTTATTTTAACTCTGTGTGTATCTTTCATTTTTGTCATGTTTCCTGTAAGCAACATATTTTTGAATTCAGATTTTTAATCTGTTCTTCTCTCCGGGGTAAATTCATCCCATTCACATTCAAAGTTATAATTATTTGTTGTGTATTTCCTTCCATCCTATTTTTCCTCACTATCCTTCTCACCCTATTTACCCTATTCCTCTTCACTTGTCTAATTTACTTCTACCCACTACCTTGCCCTTCTATTCTTAAATAGACCCATTCCTCTTATAGTCTCTCCCTTATCCTCTCCCCCCACCCAATGGCAAAGTCATATTATCATCTCCTTGATGTCAAGGTCCTCTTCGAGAATGAAGGACAAACCATGCAAGCTCCCACCCTGCACTTTAATCTACCTAAATTCCTCCCTTATCCCCTCCCCGCTCCTAATTCTTAATCTACACACCCTTCTACAAGTCCCTCCCTCATCCTATCCCCTTGCTCTTTTTATATCTTTATAAATTTAGAAGACTTTTATACTTGGTGTTTATGTTGTTCCCTCTTTTACTCATTTCCAGTGAGGGTGAGGTTCTAGCACTACCAACCCTCTACTCCCGGTTGCTTCTTATGTATCAGTTCTTCTTTTTATGCCTCATTTGTATGGGGTAATTGCCCCTTTTTATCTTTTCCTAGCCAGTTTTATTTTTTAGAATCACCCCATCATACATAGCTCTGCCCAAACCTTTCTTTCAAACCACCCAAATTATGATGACATCAAAGTCCTGATAACATTTTCAGATATAAGAAGCAAACAATTGGACCTTATTGAGTCCCTTATAATTGGTCTTTCATGTTTACCTTCTATTTTTCTGGGATCATGTATGTTGAATTTTCTATTGAATTTTCCTCTTTTTTGTGACAAACACCTGAAAATCTTTCAATTAGTTAAATGTCCTTTTTTTTTTCCCAATTCAGGATTATACTTAACTTTGCTGGGTAAGTTACCCTTGGTCACAACCCCAGTTCTTTTGCTCTTCGAATTATAGTGTTCCAAGACCTATGGTCCTTCAGTGTAGAAGCTGCCAGGTCTCATGTCATTCTGATTGTAGCAGTGCAAAATTGTTTGTTTGGTTTTTTTTTCCTAGTTGCTTGCAATATTTTCTTCTTGACCTGGGAGCTTTGAAACTTGGCTATGCTATTCCTGTAAGTTTTCCTCCTGGGATCTCTTTCTGGTGGTGATTGGTGTATTTTTTCTATTTCTGCTTTACCTTCTTGTTCCAGAACTTCAGAGAAATTTTCCTCAACAATTTCTTGTAATATTGTACCAAAATTCTTTTTTTGATCATAACTTGCAGGTAGTCCAACAATTCTTATATTATTTCTCTTCAATCTGTTCTCCAGATCAGTTGTTTTTCTGATGAGATGTTTCATATTCTCTTCTATTTTTCATTCTTTTTCATTTTGTTTTATTATTTCTTGGTGTCTTATAATGTCATTAACTTCCCTTTGCCCTTTTCAGGGACTTATTTTCTTCCTTAAGTTTTTGATTCTTTTTTTTTCCAGTTGGTTGACTTTCTTTTCATAGTTTTCTTGATTTTTAAGCTGCTGCATCGCCCTGATGACTCATATTCAGCTTCCAGGCCATTAAACACCCTCCCTCTCTACCTCAGATAATTTTCAGAAAAACTTCTGTATCATCTGATATTTGCATCAGATTTTGTTGATTTTTTTTGTGGGCACCAAAGTATTAGGTCTTCTTAGGTCTTTTTGGATGTTTTGGCTCTTTACACTTAAAATTCTAAATGCTGAAAAATATCACAGCTACCTGAATGCCAGTTAACCATGTTGATAATAATATCAGCCTCACATTTCTCTAGCGCTAAAGTTTACAAAGCACTTTCCTCATAACAACTCTGTGAGCAGGAGGTCACAACTGTAATTAATCTCAGCTGTTACTGTATGGCAGATTTTTAAAAACTATAATTAGCTAACCCAATCTGATACAATTTTGTGAATAACTAATTAATGAACACACATGTTTTTCATTTTCTTAGGGATATTTCTTTTTTGTATGACATTAAGGCTGAAAAACTAGAGGATTCATGGCTTCCACAGCTGGTAAAAAAGATTACCTCCATTCAAGAAGAGCCATACCAGGGTTTGTCTATCCCCCAGACATCAGTAAGTGTAACTTTTTGGCCATAATATTTTTTTTCTTTTAGAATTCATTGAAAATATAAAATAGTCCATCATTCTGGACCTAGATGGCTAGATCCAATTGTCAGCATATATTTATGAGTATGGTGATGGCAGAAATGATCCCAGTCCCTGCTTGTCTTATAGGAAAGACATCTTTTTCTTCTTCTTTTTTTAAAGTTGTTGTTGTAGTCACAGTTGTTTGCGGAATTACTGTTACCGCTAAAGTATAGTCAAGTCAAAAAGCATTTGTTAAAAGCTCCTGCTATGTGTCAAGACACTGTGCTAATCACCGGGGATGCAAAGAAAGATAAACAGTCTTTCTCCTTGAGGATCTCACAGTGTAACAGGAAGACAGCATGTAAACAACCATGTACATGAAAGATGTATACAGGATAAATTGGAAGGTAGATCACAGCTGCCTGTCTAAAAATCATCTTAAAAAATTGTCAGAGATAGATTTTTCAACCTGCTGATATTGATTTTTATGTGGATTTTTAGAATTAATTACATGATCAGTTATTGGCAGAATTTAAGAAATAAAACCCAAGCTTCAAAGAACCTAGGACGTGTTTCAGTTGACTGGTCCTAGATACCCAACCCTCAATTTGTTTTTCTACAATATGGGTGATTTTTATTCAAGCTTATAGCCTTTACATAGAACTATGTTTTAAGCCATTTCTTAAATCAAGATCACTCAAACAAATTAGATCCTAACTTTTGTGGTGTGGGGTAGTAGGTAAGGTATCTCTCAGAATGTTTTTTCCCCTTTCACATCTCCATTTCTTTTTCAGCCAAAAAAGTTAACGGATACTCTGATCCCTGAAGAATTTCACATTGCGTCCAGCACAGGAGTTGAAGGTCTACAATATTATGATGAGTGAGTTTTACAGTTTGAGTGGAACCCTTGGTAATTATGTGATTGCTACCTCTCTTGAATCAGAGAAATAATGCAAAGACTGAGAGTGGAAGGACATTCATGGCCCTAGACAGGGGTTTCAACCCAGGAGTTTGCTGGTAAATGTTTAACTGGCTCCCTGAAAGAAAAAAAAAAGCATACAGACACTTTTATATTTAATCTGCATTGTTAACATTTCTACATCACTTTCTTCCATCTAAATAATCAACAATTCAATGACTCAAGCCCTGACTTGTCGTGTTTGTCAATTTCCAAGGCATTGTGAGGACCAAATGAGAGAAGGTATGTTAAGTGCTTTGCAAACCTTAAAGTGCTATATAATGCTAGCTGTTATTATTAATAACACTCTCTTGTATTAATATGATATTTTATGGTTTACAAAGCATTTTCACATATATTGCATCATTTGAATCTTACGACACCAGAAACAAGGACCCAGGAAGGAAGACTGAAGACAGTCACAACCTTACCTGTTTCACAGGTAAATATGCAGGTAACACTGTTTGTTGGGCAGGAGAACACAGAAGGATACCTATAGGTTCACTCTAACACTCTAGCACTATCTAGTCTAGTCTTCTCAAAAGGGTTGCTGATAATGGGAGCTCCAACTCCTACAGCATTCCCTAATCACACTTCTCCCAGGGGCAAGGGAGAATAGCAGTACAGCTCCTCATCCCCTAAGCCTCAATGGGGGCTAGTTGAGGCAAACACAGATTCCCCTCAAGCCTTGATGGCGCTGATCAAGGCAGGTACATGCATTCCTCAACGCATTACCCAAATCCCAAAATGGGTTCCCCACCACTGGCCACAGTGCTGCTTTATAGGGCAACAGGTGAAGAAAGCATCTTGCCCATGTTAAGCTCACAAGTTAACTTTAGCAATATTGTCATATCCTAGCACAGTGCATGCATAATAAATATCACATCATGTCACCCCTGTATCTCACGTGCAACAAATATGGTTTTCAGCCATAATTTGTGGGATATATTATCTAGGATCCTAGAACTATTATCTAAAAGGGATTTAAAAAATCCACCTTATTTACAAAGATCTAATGACTTCCCAAGAAAAAATGGCTGGTATAGGGTAGAGCCTCATTAGATTTTAAACTCCTTGAGGGCAGGAAATGGTTTTCTTTTTATTCATTGTATCCTCAGTCTAGCAGAGTGCCTAGTGCATGGTAGTCATTTAATGTGGATTGGATTGGATTGGATTGGATTGGAGCCAAGACCTAAGCCCAGGCCATCTCCTTGTCCATTCTCCTTCCACAGGATCATGCTCCTTCCTGGGGATAGAGAGTACGTGATTGTGCACTGTGTTACAGGCAGGCGATTGAGTGCCCTTAAGAATAATGTGTAAATTTCCTTTTTTGCAGCAAATATACAACCCTGCTAACCGACAGTCAGAATAGGCTGTTACTTTTCCCATCAATGTAAGTAGAGCTGATTTTCTAAAATGCTTTCCAAAATAATAAGGATGCCATTTCTGTCAAAGCCCACTACCCAAAGACGTGTGGGCTGCCCTTATTTTATTTTATTATCTTTGGGATTCAAAGATTTGGTTCAGCATAGTTCTGGTAATAACACTAATTCTCCATTTCTGCAACCTTCATCTGCTAGGAAACCAAATAAGAGAATTGAAGTGATACAGCTGAAGAATGTAATGGATATGATGCTAGAGAAGGCTGGTGTAGATGCTGACAAATCAGTAAATGCAACTCAGGTAGAAAACCCTTCCTAAACCTCATCGTGGCGGAGGATATTTTCCATCCCTAAGCATTTCCTATAATTGTACAGCATGCATTAAAGAGGTTTCAAATCTCAAGGATTACCCTGCTATAAAGTCCTTGCATCTATCCTTTTAATAAAATGTCCTAAAAGGGTCATGTTCTTTGAGGCCTAATTTTAGTTATAAAAATGGATTCAGAGAGAAGCCATGTGGTTTAGTGGATAGAAGCTGGCCCTAGAGTCAGGAAGACCTGGGTTCAAGTCTTGTTTTTGATACACACTGGCTTTGTGACCCTGGATTTAGGGAGCTTTTTAAGGCCTGAAGTTTCAGAGTAGGTTCCAAGTTGCATTATCTTCAGGAAGTTTCCTGGTTGGGAATTCCCTATGCCAGTGAAATCACAGATCTGGCCTCCAAAAAAATCACAGAGGCAGAGTAGTATAGTAGAAGAGGTGCTGCTCTTGGAACCAGAGGACCTAGGTTCAGATCCCTGCTCAGAGGCTTGCTGGCTGTATGATAACAGGCAGGTCACCTGACCTCTTTTGATCTCAGCTTCATTAATTGTAAAATTAGGGAGTTGGATTAGATAGCACCAAAAGTTCCTTCCAGCGTTACAATCCATACCCAAAATACCAGTTTTATCATCAGCAAAATAGAAATATTAATATTCATATTACTAGTCTAATGAAGGTTTGTGAAGTAATTAGCCAACTTTAAAGTGCAGTGTGGATGTTTTAAATTATAAGTATGAGTATGATTATTCTGTAGAAATTTTCGGGTAATCTTGTGAGTGTGTGGTAGGTTTTTGGAAATATTTTATTGACAACAGGAGATATGGTGTAAATTGTCAATGTGAAAGCATTAAAGTAACTGATTATAACTGTTATCTCCGTGGAAGATATGACAACGAAAATCGCTGTTCATTGACCTTCTAATAACAAACACCAGGCGATCCGTCCAATGCAGAGTCGAGTTTGAAGAGAGGCTCTCGGTAGATGGGGCGCTTCTCCAGGGGTTCCTGTTTGTGGATGATGTTCTGATCAAGCCCCAGCACATTGCAGAGCCTCCTAGAAGAGATCTATGACTGAGATCTGTAACCCTTCAAAAGAGCTTGGCCTCTCTGCCCACATAGGGCGGACCAGTGGACGACAAGTGTCTCTGGCCCAGATTTCAACGTGCATTTAGATGAGTCTCCAGTAGCACCTGCTGATCAATGTATATGTATAGACGGATACTACAGAGGGGTGACGAGTCGGGTCCGCCATTGAAACAGAGGACCGCTTTCGGATCATTTCAGAGTTCTTCTACTGATCCTAAGCTTCCTGTGAAAGCAAGGGGCCCATCTCTTCAATAACATTTTCCCAGTGTGTGCTATATAATAATGAGACATGAAATACCACTAGCTCTGATGAGTATCGCACAGAGATCAGTAGAGAGGTGCAAGGTCGGTGTGAGCTGGCTGCAGCATACTTTCAGTGAGGAACTCCAAAGAACAGGTGGGAAAGAGGTCATTGATGACCTCTAAGATAGGAAGAGAAGATAGACTGGTCACTTGGTGAGGGCATGAGATGACAGGCAGACAGAGTGATCCATTGGTATCTTTGAGAGGGCAGGAGAAAGCAGGGAAGGCCTCTTGCTCATTAGGTGGGCCCACTATGGTCAGTTTACAGGAGGACATGGACAGGAGTCACCCAGGACGGGCAGGCCTGACTGAGTCGTGATTGGCGTCGTTGGAGGAAACACCTAAATCAATAAGCTCTCAGATACATTTGAGGAAACAGTGTCATGGTCGTAGACTAATGCTTTCCTAACTGTGAATAAAGCTGTTGAAGTATGAAAGTAAGCCTAAATATTACCCAGAGAAGACAGAAAGGGTATAATAATAACATGAGTTTTAGATATCACTGGCTAAAATATGAAAAAGGCTATCACAGAATCCTTCTTCCTTCATTCCATCTACAAAATGGGGCAGATTTGGAAATCTGTGCTTTGGTGAATGTTTTTCCAGTATACAGCTTCCTTAATTAAAGGTATAGCAATAATAGTAATAGTAATAGTAATGGTGGTAATAACAATAGCATAATTATATTGTGCTTCAGGGTTTGCAAAATGTTTCTGTATCTACATCGTCTTTTGCTGTATTGTGTAGAAGAAAGAACAATGCAGCAAGAGGCAGGAGGCCTAGTTTCTGTTTCCTTCTCCACTGATAACTTGCTTTATGACCTTGGGCAAATCACTTAAATTTTGTGGGGCTCATTTGGCTCGTTTGTAAAGTTAAGATAACAACATCTTACCTGTTTAGAAGAAGGAAGCTGAACTAGAGTATTATTTTGAGAACAGGATGGTGTAGTGGAAAGAACACAACTAAGGACAAAAATGTGTTGGGTCCTAGTCCTTACCCTGCCCCTGGCCAAGTTATTCGACCCTTCTGTATCTTGCAGGGGATGATCCCTCAGGTTCTTTTCAGCTCCAAGATCCTATGATTCTATTTTATTTCATGAGAAAAAAGATCTTCCAAAGGAATGTCATGTTTTCAGTGTCTCCCATAACGATCTTTCTCCATGGGGTGGTGTAAGATAAAACTTTGTACTTTAACGACACATTAATGCTTTACTTTTCCTCTACCAGATGCACAGACTTCTCGAAGTGCTGAAGACTGAGCAGAACATTTACAATACGGCATTTCATGAAATCATTCGACAAATCAGTGTGGAATGTTCAGACAGAGGAGAACTCTTGTCAAATATAAGGTGAGGGCTTTGAGGATATTGAACAGTTGTCCTTTATTTTCCAATCAATGTCATGGTTATCTTTGTTTTTTAGAAAATGTTTTAAGAACAGGCAGTCATGTTTCTCTTTTCTTTCTGATGGTGACCTCTGAGGAATAAAACTGAATTTCAGAGTTGGCAGAGAGCCCATCCGATACAACCTATATCTGAACACAAATCTCTGTACCTGAACAACGCGCCCAACAAATGGTCATTTGGTCTTTGTTTAAAGAACTCTAGTTAAGAAGCTGCTGGTTGCCAAGGCAGCCCACTCCATGGTGGGATGATTCTAACTCCTGGAAGTGTTTCCTTACATGAAGTAAAAAAATCTTCATTTCTGCAGCTTGATCCTTAGTTGCGCTTTCTGGGGTCAATCCCTATTCTAGCAGGAAGCCTTCCAGATACTTGTAGGCAGCTACAATAACCACTTCCCTGACCTCCCCCTCCCCTGACAAATTTTTTCTTCTCTAGGCTAAACTGGGAATCTCATTCCTTCAGCTAATCCCCACATGGCATGATCAAATGTGGTCATACATGTAAAGCTCCTTACAGACAACAAAGCCCCTTTTCATGGAAGAGAGTGAATACTATGGCATCAGTGAACAGCTGATATTTTCTTCTAGAATCCCTGTTTCATGTCTCCTGCAACATCAGCAGGTTGAGATAAGAGCTTGGGATGTGCTAATTGGAGAGTGTCACACTAAAGGGTGGAGAAAGGCCCACAGATAATTTCTCAGGTCATGAAGTGTCTCTTGCAATAGTGTCAGTGTAATCTGGTCTCAAGGTTTTATTTAAACAAGATATGGATGATTCTTATGTATGGTCCTTTCAAATATGCCCAAGATTTAATGAGGCAGTCTCAGGGTTGTCACAAAGGTATATTCCATGCTGTCTCAGTAAGCCCTTATCTTCATACACCCATGCCAAGTGTGGTTGTAGCACACAAAAGCTTATGGAGGTGGAAATGCACAGACCATCCTCCCATAGGACGATGGCCTGGAGAGAGACATAGAAGAACGGCCACACCCACAAACTCTTTCAGGGATTCCAACTAGTACAGTCACACCCTCCCTTCACCTAAGTTTGAATCACTGTCCACAAACAACCATATCTGTCAACTGTCTCTACAACAATGATCAATTTAGCAATGATCAGCTGGCAGCAGGTCTTCCTGTCCCTCCTCTTACATCTCCCTGCAAGCCATTACAACACAGACTAGTTGTCAAATTCCACTAGCCATGTTACTGACTTGCTAGAAGCTAGTGGCACAGTGGATAAAGCATTGGTGGTGGTGGTGGTGGTGGTGGTGGTGGAGTGTGTGTGTGTGTGTGTGTGTGTGAGTGTGTTGTGGGGGTGGGAGGGCAGTGTCAGATCTCCCTGTGTACCTCTGATGAAAGTTCAAATGATCACCACTCCATACTTCTGTTGGCAATTTACAATTTCTCAAGCCTCCCACTTAACTCCTTATACCATTAACATAAGAGTGGTTTGTGCTTACTGTTACTTTACCATGGGAATTTAGGGGAACATAACTGGTTTGAGATATGAAATGTGAAAGACTGGGCAAGTGTCCCTGCTCAATGGTTCATAGCTCATCTGGTCCTATTTCTGAAAAGATGGTGAAAAGCCTTGAATAGCTGTAACGTAAAGCCTAAGGCAGAGTTCTGAGAGGAAAACTACCTAGACCTGGTATCTGGCTACCCGCAATCAAGTCTTTGTTCTCCATTGCTTTCCCAATTGTTTTCCTGTTCCTATGTCCGCCATAGTGCTTGTTGAATGGTCTTTTTCTTTTTCTTTTTTCTTTTTTTTTTTTTTGGCCAGGCAATGGGGTTAAGTGACTTGCCCAAGGCCACACAGCTAATAAGTGTTATGTGTCTGAGGCCGGATTTGAACTCAGCTCCTTCTGAATCCAGGGCCAGTGCTCTATCCTATCCTGTGCCACTTAGCTGCCCCTGAATGGTCTTGATTCTCCTTTGCAGGGTTTATTTTCAGATCATTAAAACTGTCATTGGCTGAATCAAAGGTATGCCTGCCAGGAACAAATATGGGGAGAATCCATAGGCTACCTGGAATGGTGACATTCCAAGTATTCTTTGTTAAATTAAATTAAATTGTTAAATTCCTTGTTAACCAAGGCATCGTGTTATCTTGGCACATTCCATCATTAGCAAGAACTGATTCTCCTATAATAAGTTTGTGGCACAGCACCATAGGAGCTAGGTTGTACTCTACATGTCCATTGGTCAATGGGTGATAGGTTGTTGTAAGCTATTGCTGAATCCCTAGTGTCTTCTGAAGACTTCTCCAGAACTTGGCCAGTAACTCTGGCTCTCTCTCTAAGTTAATCTGTATGGGAATTCCATGATGTTAGGTAGATGCCAGCTGGGGATACATGATCACGTTCCCCATGCTAGGGGAAACAATACACTGCCATGCAGATGTTTGTCTTGGCGCATAAAAAATACTTAATAAATGCTTATTGACTGACAAAATCAAATCCTAGCTGCTACCATAGTTAAGGGGATATAACCAGTCACAGTGGAAGAAGTCTCATGGATCCTATCAGGGCTTTTGTTGTGCATTGGCACTATACCTCTACCCTTTACATGGCACTGAGCATTCTGTGCTCACTCAGACTACCAGTAATGCCAGTGCATTGAATTTTTGGTTCTCACCCCTCCGAGAAGTGACAGATATCTCCTTTCTATAGTACAGAAGTCCTACGCCCAGGCCCAGACCCCAGAAGAACCACAGCCAAGACTTCCTTGTTGCATATACCTTGAAAGCAAATAATGGTTTGATCTAGGCTTCTTCCTTCTCGAGTTCTGAACTTCACCTGAGTGCATTAGTTCACCAGGCAGAATGTTTCAGTAAGAGCTGAGGACCCTTGAAATCACCTACAGTTAACCTACATCTTGGTGCTAAGACCCTTCCAAGTAGCTCCAGAGCATCCTTGATAGCAAGTAGTTTATGGTCAATCACATTGGAAATCCTCTCTATTAAAGTCAGTGGATGGGAGTAATATATTACTATATAGTACATCTTCTACGTCTGTAGCGTACATCTATAGTGCATCTTCTACCACAGCCAGTTAAACTCCTTAGAATTCATGATGGATTTGAAAGTATCTCAAAACTCAGTAGCAAAAGGAGGAGGGGTCAGTGCCAGCAAAACACAGTTAAGAGTGAAATAGGTGAATGGTGAGAGTAAGCCAAGATTGGGATTTGGAAAAGGATGAGGAGTGATGGGATAAGGTGGCAAAGGATTTGAAGACAGAGGATTGTATAAAGTTGAACTTGTTAGCCAAGGCATCAAAGTAGACACAGGAAACCAAGGCCAGAACTGAGGTGATAGACTGGGAAAACATGGAAGGGTAGAGAGACAGGATGATACAATTAGAATGAAAATATATTTAGGAGTAGTGAGGCATGAGGGGAGAAAGATGAAAGGCTAAGGTCAGGAGAATTCCAGTGTTCTGGATCATGGAAATAGAATACTTGTAGGTGATGGTGACCATGATTTGTTCAGCTATTCCTCAATTGATGGGCACCCTCTTAGTTTCCAATTATTTACTATGCCAAAAACTTTTGTAAATGTTTTTGCACATCTGGACCCTTTATTGTAATTATTTCTATTTACTTCTTTAAGAATTTTATTCTTAAGAGCTTCTTATCATTCCTGTCCTGACATTGATTTCAGTCCATACAATGCTTCTTGTTTTTTCTTTGAGAATACAAAGACAAAAATGAAACAGCCCTGCCCTTGGGAAGCTTACATTGTACTGGGAAAGACAACAGGCACTCATAAACATATTTGGAATATATACATGTATGTGGGAATGTTTATTCTCTACCTCAATTATGTTACTTTTCTCTTGCATATATTCCTTAAACTATCTCTTATTCACTCTAGTCTCCTCTCCACCTCCTTTTTTCCCCCTCTTACAGACAGAGATATGTGAATTTGCTTGACAGAATAGCTCGGCAGATGATTGATTTTTACAAAGACATGGTGGCCCAACGCATAATGGACAAGCGCATCATAGAAGAATTGTTTAACTTCAGGAAGGTTGTTGAGGAGCTGAGCAGGTATGAACTTTAATTGTGTGTGGGTTACAAAGACCTTTACTAATAAATCAGAGACTGAGAGATATTAGCAAAAAGAATAGTTTGTTTATTGGCTTTCTGGAGAAAGGGCTCCCGCACAGCACCCACAGGATGGCACCCACCGAAGAGAGCAGGAGTGTGTTCAGCTCAGCAGATTATATAGGTCCTATCCACAATCCCCCTGCCCACCCATTGGCTCTTCTTCCCATCGGCTGGGCTTTGGAGCTCACAGTCTAAGCGTGGAAACTTCTCTGCAGCACCGAGGACAAAAAGGGTGCGAAACAGGGAATGGTTTGCTTCAACAACGAGGGAGGGGGCCTGAGGACGGATAGAATCCGGGGGAACAGGATGTAGCTCTGCCATCTGATCTACTCCTGACACTCTGCTTTCTCAGCGAGGCAGCTTCTGAGAAATGGAGGGATGGGTCAGCTACACTGAAGGGGCTTCACTATTTCAGCATTCCATTCAATTGTCTTTGAAAAAACCTGTTTTTGGAGAGAAATGAAAACATTCAGGAAAAGGAGAACCATCAAAGACCTGAGGTCTCTTCCATTCTTACTTATGGCCACTTAAAATACAGAATGGAATTGTGGAAACAGTAATATCACATTTCTATAGATCTTTTGATTTCACAATATCTTTTCCTTAAAACACTTTGTAAGGTGGGTATAAATGAGAGTATGTGGACAAAAGGTGGCATGAAAGGGGGGCAGCTAGGTGGCGCAGTGGATAGAGCACCGGCCCTGAAGTCAGGAAGCCCTGAGTTCAAATCCAGCCTCAGACCAAACACCTGACACTTACTAGCTGTGTGACCTTGGGCAAATCACTTAACCCCAATTGCCTTAAAAAAAAAAAAGAAAGAAAGAAAGAAAAAAGACAGAGACTTGCTTTTGGGGGCAGCTAGATGGCGCAGTGGATAGAGCACCGGCCCTGAAGTCAGGAGGACCTGAGGTCAAATATGGCCTCAGACTGAACACTTGACACCAACTGTGTGACCCTGGGCAGTTCACTTAACCCCAATTGTCTTAAAAAAAAAAAAGAGAATCATAAATTTAAAAAGGCTGCATGAAGCTAAGTTTAGGTATTCTACCTTGGCATTCTCTTTGGCAGCTCTTTCTCTCATTTGGAAATTGTCATGCTTTAGAGGCGGAGCCAGGATGGCAGAGCGAAAGCAGTGACTTGCTTGAGCTCTCCCCCAGACCCCTCCAAATACTCATTAAAAAATGGCTCTAAACAAATTCTGAAGCAGCAGAACCCACAAAAAGACAGAGTGAAACAAATTTCCAGCCCAAGACAACCTGGATGATTGATCAGAAAGGTGTATTGCGCTGGGCTGGGAGTGGAGCACAGCGCAGCGTGGGCGCGCAGGCCCCAGCGAACTTAGAGCAGGCCTCAGAGGACTGAATCACGGGCAGCTGTGGAGGTTTACAGACTCTTCAATCCATGAATGTGAAAGACAACTTAGGAGGTCAGTGGGAAAAGTCTGTTTCTGGCGGTGCTGAGAAAGGAAGTCAGGGGTCTCAGATCCATTCCCCAAAAGCGTGGCCCTGGAGGGGGGGCAGCTGCTTCCCAACCTTTGGACCCATAGACTGAGGGGGAATCCATTGGCTGATCAGAGAGGGATTGCAGGAATCTCTTGCTTTGCCCAGGTATGGATCTGGGTCACAGTTCTGAGCGGTGGTGCTGGGGTGAGGAGGAACACTGACGTGGTGGAGCTTGTAGTGCCTATGGAGAGGAGCCCCTCCTCACACAGTTACAGGACAGAAAGCAGTACTTGTGGTCACAGGCCAGGAAAGAAGTAAACACCTTGCCCCTTATCATACCACCTTGGAAGAACTGAAAATTTACAGGTCCCTACAAGTATCTCTGAAAACAGCTATATAAACCTTCGAAGCTTGGGACAGTACATTCTCCACATTGGAAGCAGATTCGTACTTTAACAAAGATTTGAAAACTCAAGTAATTGGCTGGGATCATGAGCAAGCAGCGCAAAAAGAGTCAGACTATATTATCTTACTTTGGTGACAAAGAAGATCAAAATATACAACCCGAAGAAGACAACGAAGTCAAAGCTCCTACATCCAAAGCCTCCAAGAAAAATATGAATCAGTCCCAGGACTTGGAAGAGCTCAAAAGGGATTTTGAGAAGCAAGTAAGGGAAGTAGAGGAAAGACTGGGAAGAGAAATGAGAGTGATGCAAGAAAGTCACGAAAAACAAGTCAACAGCTTGCTAAAGGAGACCCCCCAAAAAATTGAAGAAAATAACACCTTAAAAAATAGCCTAACCCAAATGGCAAAAGAGGTCCAAAAAGCCAATGAGGAGAAAAATGCTCTAAAAAGAAAAACTGGCCAAATGCAAAAGGAAGTCCAAAAGATTACTGAAGAAAATACTTCTTTAAAAATTAGAATAGAGCAATTGGAAGCTAGTGACTTTATGAGAAATCAAGACACTGTAAAACAAATCCAAAAGAAGGAAATTGTCATGCTTTGGCTGATCATGGCATTTTGGGGGCTCCTTTGGTCGTCTTGCTGCGGCAATTATTTTAAATTTAAGTTACAGATGAAATTATTATAGTTGGTTTTGATGGGAGCTCTATTGTCTGTTTCCCATGTCTTATTTTAAATTAATTGAAGTATTCCTATTCCTCAGTCACTCAGTGCCCTTGATTTTTACCATAGCAGAGAGCTTTGTCTGTGCCTGAATGGGGGACAGGTAGAGGTAGGAGTAAATGAGGAAATAAGCATTGACAGCCCCTCTTTGTCCCTTTGCCTCCACTCCCTCCCGATGCTTCCTTTTAGCCAAAGGGGAGATAAAACACCCTGATTCAACATTAGTTCTGTCACTGGGAGGTTTATAAAAAATGATAAATCAAAATGATAATGCTTTTTCTCAGTTTGATTGACCTCCTCCTAGCCAGAGTGAGGCTGATGGTTTTGGCACAGGGTCAAACACTGTACCTTTCTGTTTCTTTGTACCCACATTAACATTGTGCCTCTTGATTGTGACCCCTTTTTCACCAACAAGGAAACACACAACTCAAAAGCGATTAGGATTGTTTCTTTAATTCAAATGAGCTGGCTGTCTTACTGACTTACAAAGGAAGTAAACAACTATTCAAAACAACTTTGTATTTAAATATCTATCCTTTGAAATGGAAAGGCTGGGGGAGGGTGAAGACCGCCCGTCACTAGCTGCTTGAATCCTTGGCGAGAGAACAATTTGCCAACAATTGGACTCTTTCCACACTGTGGTCATGGCTGACGGATGCCCAACTGTCCACAGATCCCAGCTGCCCTGTGGAGGCCAGCTTTGCTCACCATCTGTGCTCAGCATCCTTCACGCTCAACATCTCTCTTCCAGAGTTCTTCTTTATTATATGTGCTGCCACTGTGGCCTGGTATAGCCCATCTGTCTAGATAGGTTTACCAGGGTGTGGCCACTGCACATGCTATAGCTTCTTGGAGCTACAGGTGAGAGTTGGTGACAGGTGGACACCAAAGGCGGATGAGCAGCCATGAAAAGTGCTAGTCTTCCTTGAGTACTACATATACCCCAAACCGTTAGAGGGATGTCTACCCCAAACATGTGAAGACTTCTGGCTGGTGGAATGGGTGGATGAGAGCAGTTTGTTCCATTGGCCGTGAAGGTGGCTGAAGCCGGTGCTGTGGAGTGCTTAGAGTTTGGTCAAGCATCAAAGATGTCAAGGTTATCTACTGCATCCTAGGCCATTGCCAGTCATTTTGACTTTCTTCTTGCCATTGGAGTTTGATGACTCAGGAAGAGAGAGTGAAGCTGATGACTCTGCAACTCTGCCTTGCTTCAGTCATTTGGCACGGTGTCATCGGTCCTCTTCAAAAATAAAAGACAAACAACAAGAAATCTCTAATTCTGTGACTTGCCCAAGATCATGTAGATGGTAAGCAACATGGCTGGTATCTGAGCCCCCTTCCTCTTAAACCCGGTGCTCTTTTCATTACAATATATGGTCACCAAGATTTGGTTTGGGAAGGTGGGCCTTCAGCTCACTGTACTACCTATGTCATGGAGCTGTTGAGGCGATGTACTGTAGGGCTTTTTAATTGCAAATTTTACACATTTCACTGATGACGGTGGTGACGGATGTTAACCGAGAGGATGTTTTCAGGTCCAGGTATGCTGTAGATCGAATGTGGCCTTCCTCATCCTGGGATGTGGTCTACCAAAGATTTTTTAGCAGTTTCAAAATTTTAATTCTTTGGCACAAGTAATTAGTAGTCCTCTAGGGTCTAACCCTCTGCATTTCTGAACATGTAGCTAAATTCCAAAGCAAAATAATCATACTTTTTGGAGCTGGGAGGGTCCTTAGAGACAATCTATTCCAAATTCCTTATCTTATAGCTGAAAAAACTAATGCTCAGAGAGGTCATGTCCTTTCTAAGGTCACAAGTAGGAAGTAACAGAGCTGAGACTTTAACCCCAGGTAGGGAGTGCAGGTATTATTAACATTCTCAATTTACAGCCCGGAAAACTGAGGGCTGAAGTGATTGGTCCATAGTCACAGGAGACTTTCTCCTGAAACTGCTGAAAATGAAATCAAGTGTGTTCACTACTATAATTGGAATGATAAAGAGTTAAGAACAACAAAAATTTTATGAAACATTCTATATATTCTTTTCAAAAACTGGGAAAATAAAAGGGGAAATGAAGCCAGTTCATTAGAGACATAAACCATGAGTTCAGAACTGAAACATTGCTACACGTAATATAATTGACCATTCCTGAGAATAGCGTGTTAAATAATAGTATTCTTACTGACAATCACTGGCATTAGATTTATCGAAGTCTGCTTTTGTGTGAACAAACCTGATTAAGCTCTTTTTCCATACCTGAAAATAAAAACACCATATTTTCACACAACCAACAGACTCTAATTCTTCATTGCATTTTGTTTTTGTTTAGTTGTTTCAGTTGTATCTGACTCTATGATCCCATTTGGGGTTTTCTTGGTAAAGATACTGGAGTGGTTTGCTGTTTTCTTCTTCAACTCATTTTACAGATGAGGAAACTGAGGCAAGCAGGGTAAAGTGATTTGCCCAGAGTCACACAGCTAGTAAGTGTCTGAGGCTGGACTTGAACTCAGGCAGATGTCATGACTCCAGGCCTGACACTCTATCCACTGTGCCATCTAGCTGCCCCCATCATTGCCATTTGACCTCTCAAGTCCCTTCTGGCTCTAAATCTACACTCAGGCTCAAAAGTGATTTTGGCCCCACGCAAGTGGATTTCCGTGTGGATGTTTCCATTTTAAGATAAAACTAAAATCCTCCACAGAAACTTTTTCTGAGACATTAAAGGAAACAAAATTTCTCCTTTGATTTTAGAGAGCTATTTCTAGTTCGAGAATATGATTTAAAATTGAGGAAAAAAACAGAGAAGATCCATGAGGAGTTGATGGTGGCTCTCAGTAATGCAGAGAAGAATGCCAGGTGAGTTTCTTAAATTTTAACTAAATTAGATGGAGAGGGGAGAGGCTGTTTTCAAAGCAATGCAATGTTAGTTTTTTGAGTCCTAAGATGACTATGTGTGCCTTTTGTAGGAACTTGATGTATGATTTTTGTTTTGAAATGAGAGCAGGATAATGAGTTCTTATTTCTCTGGGGAAAGAGTTCGGATTGTTTTTGTGTTAATCATTCTGTTACTTGTGCCTTGAATGCTGTATATCCATTCTGTTTCAGTATTTTACTTGAATCCACTCTCCTTTACTATCATCATGACTTTGTACATCATTTAGTAATTTTTAGCATTTATATTATCAGGAACTGTAGCGTGGTATGGCAAAGCTGAAATTCTAAGAGTCAAGACAAAGAAGTAAAAAAAGAGGCAAAGCACTTACTCTAAGTTAATCATGCTCTCCATAAGATGGAAAGAAAGGGAATAGCTGTCTTTGTCTCGCTGGCATATTTTGCTCGTTGGTTGCAGCTACTGTCTTTAGACAAGTCTTGGGCACATACAGCTACTCTTCCAAGGTGGAGGTAGGCCTTATGACATTGGCCAGTTGGACAGGAGTCCTTTAAATGAGATAATATTTATGAAAGGCTTAGCACTGTGCCTGGCACACAGTAGGTGTTCATCAATTATTAATCCTTCTCCTCTCTCCCTTCCACTTCCCCTTCCCCTCCAGAGCAGGAGGAGGACATACAAGAGTTGTGAGAACAACTCCTTATCAGAACTGTGCCGAAGCTGCCCTGATTTTTGCCTCCCCTTCTTACCTACCGATTTCCCTTGGGTTGTTCTTGTCTCACCTATGTGATCTTGTGAACGACTTACCTATAGGTCATCTCTGAAATTCTCCCTGGGCATGAGAGATCTTTCCCTCAGACTGTCAAAAGGCAAATCATGACATCCTTTGTTGCTTGGGAACTTGTATTTTGAAATTTATGATTAATTTTTAATTTCTAATTAATTAATTTCTAAACCTTTGCCTTTCATAAATGGACTCTCAAACTAGAAAGAGGCTTTAGAAGAGCGATCAGTAGGGGAGAGGGTTAAGTCCTTGGTTTTATTCACATTTGTGAAGGAGAAGGTCCTGGGTTCTTGCCCCCTAAGTGATTGCACCAAAACAGACAGAATGCTTCCTCCCTAAGGGACCCTTCAGAAACTTTGTGAACTGCACTCTTAGTGGTCCCTGGCCACCATTCTGACTTGTTTCCCCTACCTTATAGCTCTATTGCAAGCTATCCCTTTTTAAGTAATTTCTGGAAGAATGTAGAGGAATCTATCAATCAGTTAATATACCTTATTCTTCTCAGGTGTCTTCTGTTTCTTTTTCTCTTGATGGACCTTCCCCCCCAGTTAAACAAACAGATAATAAAACACAAAAGCACCATTGTTTTCTGGTTATGGAAATTTTGGAGATAGAATTGATGAGATCGGCAGCTGGTTTGATGTGGTGTGGGGCAGTAAGTGAGAATGATCATGACTACAGAATGGTTCCTAGCTTGTGAACCTGGTGACTGAAAAAACAGTAGTGTCCCCAACACAAATAGGAGCGTTAGAAAGAAGCATAGATTTTAGGCAGAAATATAGTGAGTTTCATATGGATATGTTCGGTTTGAGATACCTATGGGATGTCCAGGTGGAGATGTTTAGTAGGCTTGCTGGAGAGAAAAAGAACTGGATATGTAGCTATATCTGAGTCATTTGCATCAAGATGCTTGTTGAACCTATGGGAACTGATGAGGTCATCATGAAAGAGAAGGGAGAGAGAGAAAGGAAGAAGTCCCAGGTGGGGCATCTAGGGCACACTCCACACATCAGGGATCACGGATGAAGAACCTTCAAAGGAGACTGCAGAGGATGAGTCAGACAAGCAGGAGATCTGGGAGAGAACATTATCAGAAGGAAAGAGTAGTCATTAATGTGAGACCTTCTGAGAGGTCAAGGGGGTGAGGACTGAGAACATTCTGTTGGCTATAGCAGCAAAGAGATTGTTGGTGACTTTGCAAAAGACAACACTTCTGGTTGAGTTTGAAGCTAGAAGCCAGACTGCAAAGGGCTGAGGAGTGGGAGATGAGAGAGTGGAGGCAACCAATGTACCACATTTTTCTAGGAATTTGGCTGTGAACGAAGGGTGTTTTTCAGTTGTGTACGACTCTTTGTGATCCCATTTCTTGGCAAAGATATCAAAATGGTTTGTTATTGCCTTCACCAGATCATTTTACAGATGAGGAAACTGAGGCAAACAGGGTTAAGTGACTTGCTCAGGGTCACACAGCCAGTAAGTGTCTGAGGCCAGATTTGAACCCAGAAAGACTAATATTCCTGACTGCAGGCCCAGCACTCTATGCACTGTGCTACCCAGCTGTTCCTGTAAAAGGGGGGAGGGAAGGAGAAATAGAATGATAATTTCATTAATTTTATCAGTGATTTTGTACAGTGGCTAATATTAGCTGACCAGCAAGAAAATTGAAATTATCACTTCATTTGCCACACTTAAAGAAACCTAGCAACAAGAAGTGATCATTTTCCATCTATAATGTCTATCTTTAACTAGATTTAAACCACTTAAATAAAAGGATATGACATTCTATTTTTTAACCAGTGTATTGGGCTGCAGTTTATCTTCTTTCTTTTTGTGTCAGGACTGGAAAATTGATATGATCTGCTTTTTTTTTTTTTGGGTATAGGAGAAGTAGCCAGAAATTAGTGGAGACATTTATTGCATTTGAACAAAATCAGTATCCTTGATGCATTCACTTTTCATAATAATTTATCATACTACATTCTGAATTTTAAATGGATTCTGCATTATAATTAATTAGATTAGATTGTAAGCTCCCTGAGGGCAGGGACTATCTTTTGCCTCTTTTTTTGTATCCCCAGCATTTAACACAGTGCCTGGCACATAGCAGTTATTTAATAAATGTTTAATGATTGATTGAGTACATAATAATAGTAGCTACTAGCATTTACATGATACTTTAAGGTTTGCAAAGTACTTTATATATGCAGCTGTGGCTGGAATATCATGTTGTACAAATTCTAGTAAATGAAAGAAGAAAAATAACATGAAAGCTATCTGGAGAAAGGAAAAAAAAATCTTGGACTTTAGATTTTCATTAACTTCCTTTTCCTGAGAGATTTGGGAGAATGTTTACTATTATCTCTTCTGTTTTACTCAGTGTGAGATGTGCCTATTACCTATATCTTCAAAGATTGAGCCACAATTATCTTAAGATCCATTTGAGGTGAATTTCCTATTTTAAGAAGAAATTAATGATTTTAGAGCACAACCAAACCAGTTTTTTCCTTGTCTTAAATTTAGAATTGTGGAACAATATCATGACTTATATACATCACAAAGAGTAAGGATGGAAGCTGACCTTAAGCAGTTAACTTCTGAAAGAGACATCTGGAGCACAGCCACCTATGACTTGGCCCTAAAGGTAGAGAGAGCTAGACATAGCTCTGAGCCCCTCCTCCCACCTTTTTTTTCTTCTAGATTCATTTTATAGTTGTAAATAACACTAATAGAAAAACTCAGGGCTAGAGAAATGTATTTTAGCTTTTCCTGATCCTCTTAACTGCTAGTACTCTTGTTCTCAAGCTGTCTTGCATTTAACGACTTTGTTACAATCTTTATTTTTATTAGACTTATATATGTGTGTGTGTGTATATATATATATGTATATATGTATATTATATATGTATGTATATATATATGTATGTGTATCTATCTATCTATCTATCTATCTATCTATCTATCTATCTATCATCTATTTGTTGGCTTCCCTATTAAAATATAAGTTCCTTGTAAGGAGGAATTGGTTCATTCATTGTATTTGTATCCCCAGCACATATCACATTGCTCAGCACATAGTAGGTGCTTAATAAATACTCGTTGATTGATTGATAATTGGTCAATAAAGCTATACACCATGAAAACTGAAGACATCTATTCATTTACTCTTCTGGATAGAGAATAAGTGGAGACTTAGAGTTCGGAAGATGTACCACATGTAAATTTACTATGTGACCGTGGCCAGGCCACTTAACCGCTATAGGCCTCAGTTTCCTCACCTGTAAAATTGGGATAATAACATCTGGAAAGCCTACCTCACAGGGCTATTTGAGGCTCAAATGACATAATGCAAATCTTAAAGCATTATTTAAATGCCGGTTATTGTTGTTTTTATTACTTAGCTATTACAGCACAGCTTCCAGTTAGGAATACTTTTCTCCTTACATCCACCAGATTTTTTTGGAATATGACTCAGAGAACATTTTCTGTTGTCCATCAGTAAATAGAGATGGGAGTTGATAAGAGCTCCAAACTGCCAATTTAGCTAACCTAAATCAGGGGTGAGGGGTGCCAGGGCATAGGGAGAGAAGGGCTCGTGTCTCTTCAAGGAATTAACTCTGATAACTCAGATAACTGTGCTACTCTATTGGGCACTGTTATCCTTTTCATTTTGTGTTTATTGGTTTCTATTCTAACTTAATGGCTGCCTTGTAGTCATATTGACAGTTTCATTAGCAAAGTCCCATAATTTCCCATTTTTCTTTTTTTTCTTTTTGGCTAGGCAGTGGGGTTAAGTGACTTGCCCAAGAACACCCAGCTAGTGAGTGTTTTGGTGTCTGAGGCCGGATTTGAACTCAGGTCTTTCTGAATCCAGGGCCGGTGCTCTAGCCACTGTGCCACCTAGCTGCCCCAATTTCCCATTTTCCAAAACTGTTTAACTTTATTCCCACCTATGGAATATTAACAGTATCTGTGAATGTCTGTGAGTCTTAACAATAGGCTATCATTTCCAATATCATCACTCTAGACTCAAACATTGAAATATGGATTCAAGTTCAGAGACAATTATTATGTCTCTAATGGCATGTTTCCAGGTCTTGTTACTTACTTAGCATTTAAAAAAATTATTTATGGGGCAAGTGGGGGCCCAATGGATAGAAAAATGGGTATGGAGTCTGGAAGACCTGAGTCCAGATGTGGCCTCACATACTTATTAGCTGGGGAGCAAGAGAGGACATATTAAGGCCCTGCTGAAGGAGAGACTTGGGTTGTGGGTAAGAGTGGCTAGGGATGCTAGCTAGTGGCAGACTTTTCCTTGGCACAGCTAGCCATATCTACTCACTCTACTCTAGACTGGGTTAGCTGTGCTAGAGATAAGGTCAGAGGTTCTTGCCAGGTCAATACATCCAAGACGGTAAAACAGTGACCCTTCTGGGTTCCAGTCTGCAGAAAAGTTCTGTACTTCTGTGCCACCAGGTTCTGGGTTCTTCCAGAGTCGATGCTTCTGCTTCTAATGACCAGTCCTACTGGAAGACTGAGTTGAACTTCTTTTGGGAGCTATATTGTTCTACTTTCTTTCCTCCTCTTCTATGGCACACTGCTGTGGAGAACAAAATAACCTCTGAGTGTGCATGTTATAGACCTCATGGGTCCAGCTTTGTCTAGGGAAAGCATCCAGTGTTTAAGAGAGTAGGGAACAGCTGCTTGGTACATGTTTTATGTTTTATTAAGCATATATCCTTGGTACTAAGTACTGTTTAGCTGTTTTTTACTAAAAGTAATTATCTACCACAGGCAGTATCCAAGCATGTATCTGTTTCCTGGGGAGCCAGTGTCAGCCTGATAGGATAGTTGTGACCAGTGCTTACTGAAATAAAAGAAGTTTTAAAAAAAGATCAACATTCACATTTTGTTTGGTACGGTTTGTCTTTGTTCAGTCCAAATCCTGATAATCATATAACTTTCTTATAGGTCATTAAAAAAAACAACCTCATACTGACCAGAAGACTTTATCTTAATGAAAAGGCTTGGAATAAATATGTCACCCATTTCATTGTTATGTTGGCATCCCAGGTAAACTTAAATTAAAGAGGCTTTTGGAGTTGAGAGTGTGGGCATTTGTGTGTTGGGGGGAATGGCAGGAGGGTACATGCATACGAAATGATAAGACCTGTATACTCCCTCTTCTTCATCACTCACATGCAACCTTGCATCCCTGGCCCTTAACACTGTGCCTGGCATATGTTCTTCAGTCATTTTTCAGTTGTGTCCAACTCTCCATGACCCCATTTGGGGTTTTCTTGGCAAAAATAATGCCATTTCCTTCTCCAGCTCATTTTACAGATGATGAACTGAGGCAAACAGAGTGAAGTGACTTGCCCAGGGTCACAGAGCTAGGAAGTGTCTGAGGCCATGTTTATTCTTAGAGAGAAAACATATTTTAACTCTTCATTCGCTGATTCATTTCTGTTCCATTTGACTTTGCAAACATTTATCAAATACCTTCTCTATTCAAGACATTGATCTATGGCCTGGGGGATATAAAGTTAAAAAATGACACAGTCACTCCCAGGAACTAACAACAGACTAGAGTGCATGAGACACATACAAGTAACTGTGATACAAAGTAGAAAGAGAGAGGTCAAGCAATGACATAAAAGATTGGAGAGCAGGACCCCATCTATGCGGGGGAATCAGAGAAGGCTTCATGGAGAAGGTATCACTTGGGTTACTAGGTCTTGAAAGAAGAGAAGAGTTTCTGTGGGCAGAGATGCTCAAAGAATATGGACTATGCATGGAGAACAGCACTGTACAAATGTGGAGGAAACAGGATGAGACTTGGGAACTACAGGTGGTCCAGTCTGATTGGAATAGAGGCTGTGTGAAAAGAAATTCCATGAAATAAGCCTGGAAAGGGGTTTGGAACCAGATTGATGATGTCCTTTAAATACCAAGATAAGGAGCTTGTATTTTTTCTGGCAGGAAATCAAAGACCACTAAAGGTTTTGGTATAAGGAAGCAATGTGAATAGACTTGTGCATTAGGAAGGTTACTTTGATTTACACTGTGAAGGATGGATTGGAGAGGGGAGGATGCAGGGAGACCACTTAGGCAGTTATTACAGTAATCTAGGAAAGATGAAATTGAACTAGGATGGTGGCAATGGAAGTGGAAAGGGAAAGGTACATTGCAGGGCTATTATTGAGGTAAAATCCAAATTTTAACAAGCACATCTTGTTAAAGATATATAGTGCCTACTATATGCCAGGTGGGGCAGCTAGGTGGTACAGTGATAGAGTACCAGCCCTGGAGTCAGGAGGACCTGAGTTCAAACATGGCCTCAGACACTGCCTAGCTCTGTGACCCTGGGCAAGTCACTTCACTCTGTTTGCCTCAGTTCCTCAACTGTAAAATGAACTGGAGAAGGAAATGGCAGACCACACCATTATTTTTGCCAAGAAAACCCCAAATGGGGACACAGCTGAAAAATGACTGAACAACATATGCCAGGCACAGTGTTAAGTGCCAGGGATACAAGGTTGCATGTGGGTGATGAGGAAGAGGGAAATGGTAAAAGCATAAGGAATTTGGACCTGATGGTTGTATTCAATAACAGAAGAAGCCAGGGGAAAGTCTGGAGGAGAAATGATGTTTAGTTTTCTATATGTAGTATATGAGATTGATGGGACATTTAGGTGGTTAGAAATATGGAACCAGGACTGTCTGAAAAGATTTTCAAAATATATACACAGATGTATATATACACACACTTACATGCACACATATATACATGTATGTGTGTATGATTAGATATCTACATCAGCTTATGTAAGATCACACGTATGAATGAGTATACACATATACATACAAATACATGCATGCACACAATGCACCCATGTATGTGTAGTGTGTACATACATGTATATAGAAATGTGTGTGACGTATGTAAGAAATCTCTATATGTACTTATATATGGATATATATATATGTATAAGAATATATAGATGTTCCTTACACATATATATATACATATATACAATATATGTCCATATACAGACATCTCCCATGTGTACATGCATACATATGCATAAATACATACATATGCATACATATCCATAGTCTCGTAAATATAAACTCATGTAAACAAAAGCTCTTGGGGGGCGAGGTTTGTCGAACAGAGGTAGGGAATCTGTGGCCTCGAGGCCACATGTGGCCCTCTAGGACCTCAAGACCGTAGGTTCCCCACCCCTCGTATAGAATTAAGAGTGTAAAGGGGTTCTGAGACTGAAAAGTTCAAGAACCACTGTTTTACATGTTTGTAGGATGATAGCTTTCTTAACTTTAGAAATTAGATAGTCGTGGGACATATAAAGTGCTCTGAAATAGCGCTCATTATTTTGATCTGTCGTGTGGGTGGTCCCAACAAGACATCTTTTACACAATTTTTTTTGTGTTCTTGTTGCTTTTTGGTTTTCACTACGGTCATTTGCCCTTGGCTCACCCGATTGAACTCTCTTTTTTTTTTGTTTGTTTTTGGCAACAGAAACATTTAAGCAAAAATGACTAACATAGCCCTCATGTCTGACGGTGACTGTGACATTCCCCACCTCTCTTCTGAGAAAAGAAGGTGTGTTTCCTTCACAGCTCTCTAGGTTAGAGATTATTCGTAGCAGCTTATTGGAGTTGGGCTGCTTTTTTAATGTTACTGTGATTTACATTATTCTGTGAAGACATCTCAGTGCTTGGTTTCTGTGCATTTTATCTAGGATGCAGTAGACCTTTCGCAATTGCAGAAGGCTACACAGCAGTGGAGAAGTATTTTTAGACGCTTCAAATATGACATGGAGCTAAGTGAAGATAACATCAAAGAGAAGGTGAATTTTGTGAAGAAAACCCTCATCGAATTGCAGAAGTTCTTGGAGAAAAACGTGTGGGTGTCCAATAAGTGCTTGTTTCTGGTTTTATTGTGTTGACTCCCTGATAATCGGCCTAGCTCATTTTGTGTTCAAACTCTACACGCATCACTGACAACTTATGGTGTGTTATTCAGCTGTATCAGTCGTGTCCAACTCTGTGACCCCATTTGGGGCTCTCTTAGCAAGTGGTTTGCCATTTCCTTCTCCAGCTCATTTTACAGACTGACAATGGCAGTCTTAAATTTCTGACTTCTCCTATAAAGTCGGTAGCTTAGTGATAGAGAGGGGTGTGTGTGTGTGTGTGTGTGTGTGTGTGTGTGTGTGTGTGTGTGTGTAGGGAAATAGAGGCTGGAGGGAGATTGGGATGCATTGATGGGGTATAGAGGTGTGTGTTTGTGTGTATGTGTGTTTGTAAGGGAGTGGAGGCTGGGGGGGAGATTGAGATGGATTGATGGGGTATGGAGGTGTGTGTGTGTGTGTGTGTGTAAGGAAGTAGAGGCTGGGGGAAGATTAGGATAGATTGATGAGGTACAGAGGAGTCTCTGTGTGTGTGTGTGTGTGTGTGTGTGTGTGTGTATAAGGGAGTAGAGACTGGGGAGGGTGGGATGGATGACTGGGGTATAGAATCTTACAGTCACAGAATTGGTAGGGATATTAGGGGTCAGACTAGTTCAACTGGTGCCAGAGCAACAGTCCTCTAAAACAACCACAACATAAAGTTGCCCATGGATCTTCCCATGGAAGATTTCCACTGATACGGAACTTGCCACCTTCCGAAGAAGCTGATTCTACTCTGGGATAGCTGCTCTAATTGTTCAGTTTTTTTTTCTTATTTTGAGCCAAAATCTGCCTTCCCCTAATTCCTCCACATTTTTTCTAGTTCTACCTTTTGGGGTCTAAGCCTTCTTGAAGGAAGTCCTTCAGATACTTGAAGCTAAGTTATTATGCTCTCCTAGCTATCAATTTTTTCGTGTTACATATTCCCTGTTCTAACAGATTCTCATTCTGCACCACTATGGTCACCCTCCTTTAGACATGCTGTGACCTGACAATGTCCTTCTTAAAATGCAATTTCCAGAACTGAACGTAACCCTCTATATTCTGAACAGGGCAGAGTACTCCTACCTCTAACTTTGATCTGAACACTATGTTTGCCCTATTACAAACTAAGATGACATTAGGGTTTTTTTTGTTGTTGTATTTTTTCTTTTGCTTGCTCACAGGGAGCCATAAATTCACTAGGCTCATAGGACCACAGATTTAGATTCAAGGGAAACTTAGAGGTTATTTAATCCTGCTCTTTCATTAAGATGAGGAAACAGACACAGGCTAAGTGTTTTGTCCAAGGTCATAAAGGTAGTAAATGTCTGGATTTCCAATCCAGGTCCCCTGACTCCAAATGCCGTGGTACTTTTCACCATGCCGCACCACTTCTCACCACACTCACCACCCCCTACTCCCATCCCTCCCAAGGTCTTTTTCATATGTTGTCCAACAACACCTTTATCCTAACATACTTATGATGCTGCTGATGTTTTTCAACCCCATTTGGCACATTATTCTAATCAGCCAAGATTTCTTTAGATCTGGATTCTATCTTATAAGTTACTAGTTTTCCCATGTAGAATTGTGTCATCCAAAAATCCAGTAAGCATGCCATGATCTGAGTCGTTGATACTAGCATGTGACGGGCCAAGGATGGAGCCTTACAGCCCTCCATTATTAGACTGTGGCCTTCCACTGAAAGCATCCTTTCAGTCTGACCTTATACAATTAATCACAGCACTTTGGTTCTAATCACTCAATCAATTCATAGTAGTAGTAGTAGCAACAGCAGCAGCTGTAGCTGGAGTAGTTGAAGAAGGAAGAAAACAGGCATTTATTAAGTTCCTACTATGTGTTGATTGGGGTAGCTAGGTGGTGCAGTGGATAGAGTGCCAGGCCTGGAGTCAGAAAGAACCCTCTTGCTGAGTTCAAATCTGGACTCAGACACTTACTAGTGGCGTGACCCAGGCAAGTCACTTAACCATGTTTGCCTCAGATTCTTCATCTATAAAATGAGCTGGAGAAGGAAATGGAAAACCAGTGAAGTATATCTTCCAAGAAAACCCCAAATGGGGTCATGAAAAGTCTGAAACGACTGAACAACAAAAACGTGTTGATAAAGGACGTCCTTGGTTCACCCTTGATAATATTGGAAAGGCTTCTAGCTTATCCCCATTACAGATAATATTTACTCTTAGTTTTAGAGAGATAATACTTGCCATTTTAAAGAAAGCTCTATTTATTCCTATAGTTTCGAGTGCTTTTTTAAACAGGAAGGAGTATTGTGTTTTGTCAAAAGCTTTTTCTGCATCTAGATCACTGAGCCTTTTTCCATCTGACTTACAGAGAAAACCTCCTTAAAGTGTGGTTTCCTCTTGATAAAAGGTGAACTCCTTGAGAACAGGGACTGACTTGTTTTTTATTTGTATCCTCAGATACTTAGCATGGTACCTGGCACATAGTATGTGCTTAATAAATGCCTTTTTATTCATTACCAATTTGGCAAAGATTTAAACCACAATAACCCATGGAGACTATCTATGAAACTGTAGATTGAAATTTGCGTGGTAGAGGGATTACCCACACCAATAAAACCATAACTCCATGAAGAATTAACAAATTAGAGAGTCCCGATGGAGAATGACCGGGATGCCAAGGATGGGATATAAACAATGAACTGAAAGGTCTGGGACAGGGGTGGGGAACCTTTGGCCACATATGGCCTTGGGCTGCAGGTTCCCCACCCCTGCTCTGGGAGATTTAGCTTGGAAAAGAAAAGGCTATGAAAAAAACAACAACATGATAGCTGCTTTCAGATACTCGAAGGTATGGAAGAAGTAGAATGATGGTGTCCCTCTATTGGACAAACTAGTACATATTGGCTCACTACAAGAATGAACTTCCTAACAATTTTACCTGTTTAATAGTGGAACAGCCTGCGTTCTGTCAGGGATGTTGTAATAGGGATTTCTACATTGAACTGCCCAATAACCTTCAGGGTTCCTTTCAATTACAACTCACTGTATGTGTTCCTTGGAGGCAGTTCTGGAAGAGAGAGTGACGCTGATCACTTTGTGCAACTCTGCCTCCCTTAAGTACAATTCATATGCAAGTCACCCATGATGACACTGGTCCTCTTTGAAGACAAAGGATAAACAACAACGCTTTGTTTTCCTCAGAGTCAGCTGAACATGTTGCTCAATTTTTTTTAGTTGAAAATATTTATATTCAAATCAATTTGCTGAACATTTATTGAGCCCCTAGAAGGTAAAGATAAATAAGATACCAACTCTGAGCCCAAGTGCTTTGCAGTCTATAAGGGAGGTAAGATAGAGACATGAGTAACTGTAACATGAGGTAGAAGCTTTATGATAGGTGCATAAAAGAAGTTTGAACAAGGGTGTGCTGAGATTTCAGAGGGTGGAAAAATCACTTTTAGCTGTGGAGATCAGTGAGGGCTTCACAGAGCAGAGTATTTGCTGTTTTTAAGAAATAGGTTTTTATTGGTCTATTTTCCTTTTTACACCACCTAAATTTCTTTCTGCCTCCTCTCCTCCTCCCTTCCCAGACAGCCACGTAATTTTTTTTTACACATAATTTTTTTAAAGAAAAAATTCTTGAAGGAATTAAAGAATTCATTCATAAGTAGACAAAGATGGGAGTTTTACGATCAGCAAATGTTATCAATTCATTGAAAAAATATGAGACTATATGCAATGTTCCACATCCGAAGACATGCCCTCTCCCAAGCACACACCTCCGCAAAGGAGTGGGGGCAGGGGAGAGATAGCTTTTCTTTGGGGCTGTGCTCGTAGCAGACAGTGTTTGAAAGGGTTTTTGGTAAGGAGTACTTAAACAGGCAAAGGTTGCTGGAAGAAGGGACCCTTTCTAGTAGGGGTTTTTGTGAATAGATATTGAAATAATTGTTTAAATATGTTTCCAACATAGTGGCTCCATGTTGGAGTACAGCTAGTAATGATAAACTCTTCTCCACTTCACTAAGTTGGTTTATCACTAGCACCACTCTGCCTCCCTCTCAGGGACTTTGCTGCCAACAGCACCTAAGCCTCACCTTTCTATTTCCACAGAGTGTAATCACAAGGACTTCTGGGGAAATTAGAACCAGCTTCTCCAGCAGAAAAAGAAGCTGGAGATCCTTTCCCTAGCCTGATTAGCCAATAGATTTACATAGAGGAGATGAAAAAATAGCCCTCTTTTTGTTCACTTTTTTTTTTTGGAGGCAATAGGGGTTAAGTGACTTGCCCAGGGTCACAGACCTGGTAAGTGTCTGAGGCCAGATTTGAACTCAGGTCCTCCTGACTTCAAAGCCAGTGTTGTTCTCTACTTTTACAGCTTTGATCAACAAGAATTATTCTAATATTATTCTAGATTTGAAGGTCAGGGACATGAATGGCCCTGTGTTTAGTATGTCATCTGTTGTGGCTCTGTGACCTGAATTCCTAATGGCTCGGTGTTCTCTCCCTTACTGAGAGCTAAGATAGTTTAAATCATTTTGGTTCCAGAGCTGTAGGAGTCTGAGTTTATAAATATCTAGACCCCAAGCAAACATAAAGGACTTAATTGGGAAGAAGTATTTGAAAATTATGAAGCAGAAATCATGTATTTTTATCATTACATCTATTGCAGACAAGATACATTTTCTTCTCTACCTCTTTCTTTCTAATCCTTTTTTCCTCTTTCCATTCTTCCAGTGTGGATGGTATCTTACGTCCCATCAAGGAAACCACCATGAAGACAGTATGTGCAGACTTCAAGAAATGTAACAAAGTAAGACTTTGTAATAGATAACTTGTTCTTCAAAATGCAGGTGCCTAGAATTAAATGCTGTCTATGGGTCTCCTATCAGGGCTAGAGGGAACTACTGATCTGTTAGTCACAGTCAGTGAACAAGCATTTATTAAGCACTCACTGTATGCCAGGCACTATGCTATTCTTTTTCTGGACCATGGTTTAAAATATAGGCATGATTGGCTTTTGACTATGGATGAACTGCACCTAACAAGGGCTGGTAAAAATGTACGTGCTAGGTGCCTTGAAAATCTACCTGAGGACCTCAAGCTGAAAAGTCAGAAGAAGAAGACTGCCAACCTGGCCAAAGAATTTGACCTTGATTCCTGGCAAAAATTATAGAGAACATTATTAAAGGAATAGTAGTGAACACTCAAAAAAAGGAAGAAATGATCCTTAAAAAAATTTTTTTTTATGTTTTAAAAATTTATTTTTAAATATCAACAATCACTTCCATAAGCTTCAGAGCTTCAATTTTCTCCTCCTCCCTCCACACCTCCCTCCACAAGACGGTGCACAATCTGATATAGGCTATTCATATACATTCCTATTAAACATATTTTCACATTAGTGATGTTATAAGTAAGAATTAGAGCCAATAGGAGGAACCACCAGAAAGAGGAAACAAAACACAACAGAAGAAAAAAAATAGCAAATAGTATGCTTCAATCTGCATTCAAACTCCATAGTTCTTTCCTCTTTGTGGATAGCATTTTCCATCATGAGGCCTTTGGAGATGTCTTAGATCCTTGTATTGCTGAGAAGGGTTAAGTCTATCAATATTAATCATTGCACAATGTGGCTGTTACTGTGTACAATGTTCTCCTGGTTCTGCTCACTTCACTCAGCATCAGACCATACAAGTCTTTCCAGGTTTTTCTGAAGTCAGCCTGTTCATCATTTCTTGTAGCACAATCCTATTCCATTACATTCATATACAACAACTTATTCATCCATTTCCCAATTAATGGGCATCTTCTCAGTTTCCAATTCTTTGCCACCACAAAAAGAGCTGCTATAAATATTTTTGTATGTGTGGGTCCTTTTCCTGTTTGTACGATCTGTCTGGGATACAGCCCTAGAAGTGCTAAGCAATGATCATTAAAAGCCAGTATACTATCATTATGAATAAAGCCATGTTGACCTCATTTTTTTGATAAAGTAACTAACTGAACTGAAAACTCTGGAAAATACTGTATATCTAACATACTCAGATTTCAGCAAAATATTTCAGAAAGACTCCTATAATGCTAAGTTTGTAGATAAGATGGAGAGATAAAGGCAAGATAATACAACAGCCAAATGAATGTGAACCTGTTTGAATGGCTGCAACTGTGTTGAATCTTGCCTCAGATCCTTACTAGCCATGTGACTCTGGATTAATTAATTAACGTCTTTGGATATCCGTTTTCTCTGTAAATGAGTGGGTTGACCTCTAATGTCCCTTCTATCTACCAATCAATGATTCTATGACTTAGTTATCCCATGGAGCAAGATCCAGGAAGAGGTATAAGGGGATGGGAACCAAGGGCATGAGAGGAAGAATTAACTTTGACAAAGGAGATAGCCACTTCATCCTTGGGAACAGAGATTTTAAAGTGTGGAGGAAGGGACAGAGAGAGAGTCATGATAGCTTCAGTTTTCTCAACAAAATAGGCAAATTAAACTGCTCAGAGATGGACAGGGGGTACAACTGAGGATTTGAGGATAAAGGAATAGGTTGGAACAGAGTGGTAAGTGTGATAGCAGGGCAGTCAGGATTGCCATATAGGAGTGGAGAACCCAACATAACTTAGAAATCGGTTATTTCTAATGGATTCAGTCAGTACCGTTTCATGTCTTTCTCTAACAGCTGTCAGTCATGTTGTGCTTGCTAATTAGGGCCCCAGTTAATCTACCATTAATAGGATAATTAAGGAGTGACTTCATATACTTTTCTTTCCTTAGATGTTGATTGAAAATTCTGACCATTATGGTGGCGATAAACTAGTTGAAAAGGTGGAGACCCTCAAGCTTGCTTATCGCCTACAAGGAGCCTGGACAGAGTATGGGAAAGCAATATTGAATCGTCATAAAACTATAGATGGAGACTTACCCTCACAACAGAGTTTCATGGATGAAATTAATGAGAATGCTACAAGACTCTGTAGAGAATATGAATCAAGGGTGAATGGAGGAGAAAATGGTAAATTATATAATGAAAAATATGTCATGTAGTAAAATGCATCCTAACACAGGGAGGCCATAAAAGACTATTTTTTTTAAAACATCAAGTTTGCATAGAAAATCAATATTGAGCCAATGCAGTCTTCTAAATAAATTTATTATTTGGTTTCTTAATCCACAGTTTAGAACAATACAGTAATGTTGAGGGTGTGGAAGGGACAGGGAGGGAGTGCTTCTAGAGGTAATCAGACATAAGAACTCAAAAAAATTGGCAATCTGTAGGTAGTAACAGCCCTGCAGACCTTATTCAGCCTTGAGGATATAATTGTATAAATCACAGACCAGTCACTGATGTTTGTAATGATGTTTCTGAGTTGTTCAAAAGCGGTTAAATTATATTTATTTTATTGTTTCAAAAAGTCAACTAAGCATGTAATACATCTTAGATTTCCAGTCAAAATGGTTAGTTTTGGAAAATTCACTTATGTGGAATGGCCTATTTCCCACTGAGGTTGGATAAGTAGAATGTATCAGGATATCAGAGGAACTGTTTTCTTTAAAAAAAAAAAGTTTTTATTTGAAAGAACCTGTTCTGCCATGTACCATATTTATTTATACAAATATTATAGATACATAGTCCTTCCCGGCTTGTCCTGTCAGAGCTTAAAGATGAATTCAAATAGGGAAAATAATAATAATAGCTAATATTATTAGCCCAGCACTGTGCTAAGCACTTTACAGTTATTATCTTATATGATCCTCATAACAACTTTGGGAAGTAGGTGCTATTATCCCCATTTTACATATGAGGAAACTGAGGCAAACAGAGGTTAAGTGACTTGCCCAGGGGTCACACAGCTAGTAAGTGGCCAAGGCTGGATTTGAACTCAAAGTTTTCCTGATTTGAGGCCCAGTACTCTAATATGTCACCTAGCTGCTCCCAAAAAAGTTCAGAACTTTAGAGTATCTTTAGAAGGAAAGGCTGTCATTTTTTTTTTAATGCCAGGAAATTAGTCAAACATCTAGGTCTGGCCTGCCAACACTCTTGGAAATCTTTAATCTCAGATCTGTTAACTTCCATTTACTGATGAACAATGAGTGACTCACCCAAATTATGCAGCAAAGTAACTTGGAATCCAGTCAGTCAATAAGCATTTATGAAGCACCTACTATGTACTATTTGGCACAGTGCTAAGCACTGAGGATACAAGGAAATGCAAAAGGCAGTCCTCAGCCCTGAAGGAATTAAATGGGATTGGGAAAAGCTTCCTGTAGAAGGTAGGATTTTAGCTGGGACTAGGGAATCCAGAATGTCTGACGTGGCCTTTTGTCACGAGGCCTTCAGACTTTTCCCTACTGGCAGGACATTCTGAAACCTAACCGTGAATCCTAGGAAATAGCATCCCACACACAGTCAGTGTTTTGTCCTTGCCCAGAGAAAGTTTTTTAACTGGGCTCTGGCTGAAATGGGGAACACTTGACTATGACTCAGGGTGGAGTGGTGGACAGCAGCCGGTGTACTTACTGTTCTATGAAAACAGAGGAAACAGAAATGCTTCTGCAGGTTCTTGGAATGGAGACTAATAATGAGAATGAGGACCTAGCTAGAGTTTTCTCTTTGCTTCCTGTTCTTGCTTGTCAAACTGGGCATGAGGTTGGAATAGACTGCTACAGCTATCTGCTGTCGTGTCTTCAAGAAAATGACAGTGAAGATTTAATTTCCCCCCCCAACCTCCTTTCCTTATGCCTGTAGCCCGAAGGCTCTTTATACACACATTTCTCTGTTTCTTGTAAGCTATTTCTGATTCCAGATTTGTCTCATATAAAACTGTGATTTATCACAATATTATATCTGTTAATTAGTTGTGTACAGATGGATTGCAATAGAAGAAGTTGAAGGGCTTGTGGTACAGAAATAAAGAGGAGAGGATTGAACCTTCTCAGTCTGAGGGTGGCATAGAAGGCCATTAATTTTTCTTACAGTATTGACTTTTTAATATATCAAATATAAATTTGTGTGCACATGTAATCTGTAATTTATGTATTATTACATTTATTGTGTTAGGTGGCAGAGTGGATAGAGTCTTAGAGTCAGGAGGACCTGAAAGACTTGAGTTCAAATCCAGCCTCAGACACTTACTAGCTGTGTGATCCTGAGCTTAACCCTGCTTGCCTCAGTTTCCTCATCTGTAAAATGGGCCAGAGAAGGAAATGGCACCGCTGCAGTATCTTTGCCAAGAAAACCCCAGATGGGGTCATGGAGGGTCAGACACAACTGAAACAAGTCAACAACAACAACAGCACATTTATTACACATTATGTAAGAACCACCCACCATCCCCCACCCCCATCCCGGATGCGGAGTGATTAGTAAACCAGATTCCAGTGCTTTAGATCGGCAGGTGTTTCAGTGAAACTTCCAGCTTCAGGAATGAGTGAGGTGGAGAAGATGCCTGGACCCAAGGAAGGTCATGCCCACCGGACTGCCCTATTGGTGGAGGAAGTTGTGGTCTGGGAAAACAGCCGTGCTCTGGGGCCAGCCCCCAGGATTCCAAAGGCTGGAGGTCGCTCCCTCACTGCCAGTGCCAATCCCTGCCTCACAGTACCATGTAGCTAATGCTTCAGTAATACTATAAGTCCTTGAAAAACTTAAATAAGACTTTGTGAGTGGGAAGGGAGAAGGAAGAAGGAAAGAAGGAAGCAGGGGAGAGAGGGAGACGATTTGCCAAGTGATTAAAAGGTGGTAAAAAGAAAAGGTTTCCGTTCAGATTCTAGTTTGGGGCTTAAACACCTTTGATCCAGGAAAAGGACGTGACAATCACTGCAGCTTCAGGTCATTGCTGCGTTTCCTCCTGCTGAATTAGAGACTGATGACCAGTGCCAATGACCTGCTTCTCCCACACCCTGTGGAAGATGAGAGGGAGAAAGATGTAAGAAAGTGGGGGAGGAGTGAAAAGCAGCTGGGTAGGGATAGAAAACTTAGTGTTGACTACCTCCTCTCTATGTACAGGCACAGAGGAAGACCTGAATTCAAATATGGCCTCAAATACTTACTGTCTGTGCAACTCTAAGCAATTCCTTTAACGCTGTCTGCGTCAGTTCCTTCATCTGTAAGATGGGGATAATAGTAGCTGCTACTTCCCAGGATTGTTGTGAGAAGTAAAGTAAAATCACCCCAAAATCAGAAGTTTAAAAAAAAACCTCAGAATATATTGTGCACAGTTATATGCTAACAACTACAAAAAGAAATAGAGGCATACTTTCAAAAAAATATAAAATACCCTAACTACCAGAACACCAGATAGAAAGTTCAAATAACCCCGTCTTAGAAAAGGAAGTAGATCTAGTTGTAAAGGAGACTACCAAAGGAACTACTAGCGGTCCTTATGGATTCACAGGAGAATTCTATCAGACTTGGCCCCTCACTTCATAAATTATTCTCAAAAACTGAGAAAGCACCTTCCTGGAATCCTTTTATAAGAAATATTGTCATAATGCCTAACCAGGGTAAGATAAAAAACAGGAGGAAAATTAAAGCCCAATATTTTTAAAGAACATTGACTCAAAAATTTGAAGCAAAATTCCATCTACACTGTAGCAGTTATCCAAGAAATCATTTATTATGATCAAGTGGGATTTATACCAAGGACACAAGGATGGCTCACCGTTAGGAAAACAACAACATGATCATATTAAAAACCAAAGCCGCATGATCATCTCAATAGATATAGAAGAAGTCTTTTACAGAGTATGGCACTCTTTTATGCTAAAAACCCTGCAAAGTATAGGCACAGAGGGATCCTTTTATAGTGTCATAGAAAGCATCTGCCTAAAACCAAAAGCAAGCATCATAATGCAATGGGGATACACCAGAACCTTCCAATAAATACAGGAAGCATGAAGCAAGGATGCCCACTCTGACATCATCAAGAAATCCCAGGAGCTCTCTCTGGCTTTTCTTTGTGTCCCCAACCTTAGCACAGTGTCTAGCATATAGCGGTTACTTAGTAAATGTTTACTGATCTACTGAATTGTGAGTTGTGGTTGAAAATCATTCTGCCGTGGCTAAACCGATGACAAACCTCCAACTTAGATGGGCTGCTTGTCTGATTTAGCCATGTTGGTCCTATCCTCCTGGGAAGTGGGGAGAAGGGAAGGGGGCAAGAATAAGCGTTTATATAGTGCCTATTATGTGCTAAGCACTTTTTTTCTTTTTACAAATATTATTACATTTGATCCTCCCAATAAAACATGATTATCCCCTTTTTACAGTTGAGACTGAGTCAAACAGAAGTTGTGACTTACCCAGAGTCACACAGTTGGGGAGTATCTGAGGCTGGATTTGAACTCAGGTCTTCCTGCCTCCAGGCCCTGCATTCTCTCTACTAGCTGGCAATAGGAACTTTTAAGTCTAGTTTGCCAGGGTATGCGGTCTTAAGACCCATCAAAGGAAACCCCAAAGGAAGGAAATGAGCATTTATTAACCATCTGCTATGTTCCAGGCACTGTGCTATGTGATTTGCAAATATTTTATTCTTACCAGAATCCTGGGAATATTAGCCCCATTTTATAATTGAAGAAACTGAGGTAGGCAGCAATTAAGTGATTTGCTCAGGGTCACACAGCTAATAACTGTTTGAAGCTGGATCTGAATTCTGGTCTTCCTGACTTTAAGCCCCAATGCTTTATTCACTGCATCATCAAGCTGCCACTAAAGAAAGGCAAGAAGAGTAATTGGAAGGCCTGGAATAAACTGGGAATCTTAGAAAGATTCATTGTGATTCAGTCATTTGAGTCGTGTCTGACTCTTCTTGGCAAATACTGGAGTCGCTTGCCATTTCCTTTTCCAGATGAGGAAACTGAGGCAAACAGGGGTAAAGTGACTCGCCCTGAGTCATACAGCTAAGAAGTGTCTGAGTCAGGATTTGAACTCAGGTCTTCCTGATTCCAGGCCTGGAGCTCAATCCTTGGTGCCACCTCGCTGCCCTCTTAGAAAGATAGACTCATGAAGAAATAATG